TGTTCCCTCTACTGGCTCTTTCCTCCTGAGTAATGACACTCACTCCCATAACTTCAGCAATCACCTCCACATAAAGGAACCCAGCCCCACTTTCCCCTGGGCACCAACCATCATCTCCTAATGCCTGGGTGGACGACGCCTCCTAAACTACACTGGACATCCATCTTCACAAGCTCAAACTTACCAGCATATTTTTGATCCCTTCTCAACCTTAAATCTATTATAAATCTGTTAGTCCTAATTTCTGTTATAGGTACTGCCATCCTCCTGGACATCTTCAACCCACAATACTCTAGAGAAAAGACCTTTATAGCAAGCAATATACCTGGACTTCTTCCATAACCTCCACCAGATCTACCTTTAGCCACATGATTTTCTTGAAAACAAGTCTGAGAAATTTTTAAAGCTAAGCATAAACTACAAAAGAACTAAGTTTTAGAGACTATTAAAAAAACCTTGACCAAAGCCCTTCTTATATATGAGATATGAAATTACAAACCATTAAAAAAAAAAAATAGAGAGCTGGGGAAATAGCTCAAAAGCACCTGGCTGGTAAGCACAAGGATCTGAGTTCGATTCCTGGCACCTTATGCCACATCAGCCCCAGAACCCTGAGGTGCACCACTGCTGGCCACCAAAACCTGGTATGGTGGTGCATGCGTGTAATCCCAGGACTGGGGAGACTGAAACAGGAGGAGCACTATGATGTATATAGTGAGATCCTGTACCAAATCAATAAAAATTTAAAAACTAAGAAGAAAATAGAAATTTAATTGCATTCATTGTATTTTATATTACTTTGGTGCTGGGGATTGAACCCAGGACCTTGCATATGCTAAGCTGACCATCTATCCCTAAACTACATCCCCAGCCCCAACTACATTCATTGAAGGTCTACCAGGTAAAAAAGAAAATCAACCAGAGGTAAAGAGAAAACTGACACTTTGAAAAACTACTGGCCACATATGAGCATCAGATTACTATTTAGAAAAGGTTGCACAAACTATGCTCATATGCCCCATCCAGAGAGCTGCCTATTTTTCTAAATAAAGTTTTTTATTGGAACACATACTTGTTGGTTTATATATTATCTACAGCTCATTTTGCACCGTGATGACCAAGTTTCATAGTTGCCACAGAGACTATATGTCACATAAAGGCTAAAATATTTGCTATCTCACTTTATAGAGAAAAGATTTGCAGACCCCTGACCCAAAACATATATAGGCCAATGAGGTAGCTCAGTGGACTAAGCACCTGCTTTGGCAAACGCAAAGACCAGGGTTCAATTGTCAGTCCTGCATGCTGCACCAGCTCCGTCCCTGGGGTGCGCTGAGCAGGCAACCTAGTCCAGGCGTGGTGGCACATGCTTGTAATCCCAGAGCTGAGGAGGCTGAAAACAGGAAGATCACCACAAACCCAAGCTGCATAGACAGACCCTGTACCAAATACATAATATGAAAAACAAAAACATATACAGAAAGCCCATACAAGGGTGGGCTTAACCTCAGAGGCTTAACCTCACTGGTTTTCTTTTTTGTACTGGGAACTGAACTCATGACCTCATTCTTGCTAGGCAGGCACTGTGCTGAGCTATCCCTGGCCCTCCACTGGCAATTATTAAAGAATTAAATCATTTCATAATATCTAGTCCTGGAAATGTTACGCCACAGCCTTTTTTGGAAGGCAATTTAGTAGTATCTCTAAAAAAAAAAAAAAAAATGTAGTGCACTTGATGTCAACCCAGCCATTCTATTTTTAGGTATCTGCTCCAGAGAAATACTTGTATTCGTGCTCATAAGCACACACCCAAAAGCATTTATACAGCCATTTGCTTAAAGCATTCACTATTTATAACAGCAAAACTCATCAGTGACCTCAATGCCCAACAGTGAGAGATGGATTATGTTAGCACTACATCCCTATATGTTAGCACTACATCCCTATAGTCCAACAGGTAAAATGACTATATGTACCTATATGTAACACCAGGAAAAAAAACTCTTAAAATACTGTTAAGCAGGGGGTGAAAATCATTACAGTGCAAATACATGCACACAGTTCAAGTCTTAAAAGGTTTAAAGGTAGAGCTGAATTTACATGTACACAGAGAAATGCACAGGACAACTGAAAGAAAACAGGACTCTGTAAATGAGGGATCTGGAACTGCAAGATACTGGACTACACCTCATTACTTATACCACACCACTGTGAATTCCAGTGATGAGAAGGCAACGAACTTTTCTGCCAGAGAACAGCATTCCTGAGCACCTTCTGGAACATAACCATCTCTGACACTGCTCTCCTCATAATGTGCCCTTGGGATGTACTCATAGACCCAGAAAACAGAAATGAATGTGGTTTAAGAATTCTGGCCTTCCTTGCACTGAAAAAGTTGCTTCCCTTCTCCAAGTTTCAGTCTTCTCACTGGTAAAAGGAAGTGGTTAGATTAGCTGATCTCCTAGTCCCTTCCAGATCTGATGCCACAATACAAAGTAGGCCTTGGAAAAAGTTACTGTACCTCTCTTGGAGAAAAACAAACAAATAAAGCCCACAGCTGAAGAAATAAAGCCCAAATCAGAATGCTGAGAGGAATGTCAGCTCCTGGGAAGACAACATCCCAAGAGCAAAGCCGCAAAGCTGTCCCGCCCCTCTGGGTTGGGTGCCTGTGCCTATGGAAGACAGGGGTGGCCTTGATGATCACTAATTTATCTTCCAGCTTGAATGGTCTATGGACAATCTAAAATAAGCTGAGGGTGGGGAGGGGCAGCAGGAAGCAGGGGGTTGGGGGAAGACTGATGGGAACCAATTGGCTGAGGTTTTCTAATACAGACAGAAGGATGAGGGCAAGAGGGTGGGGGAGGGCCGGATGCCGAGAGCCACAGCAAGGCCGTTGGCAGCAGCCCTGAGTCTCCCTCCACTCTTTTCAAGAGCAGTTTCTTCCTGAAAGATCCCAGGAGGTGGAAGGCTAAACTAATCTCTCCCAGCACAAATAACCCCACTCATTATTTCAAAAATTATCACTGCAGGCTGAGACCGCCCTGTTTCAAAACCCACAATTCAACTTTGAATACAGTGAAATACTACAGTATTTTATATTTGCCTCTCTCCCAAATCCAATTAATAACCAACAGATTAAAAAAAAATAGTACCAATTCAAATATGCAGATTCCACTATAGTTTACCAGAGCTTAAAAATCAGAAAACCGATCCACCTTCATGGCATAAATACCTAATGTACCAATTTTGGCAATTATTTAAGAACCAGGACACACAAGCCTTTCTTAAAGCAGCCCTTTGCCAAAACCCAGAAACTTCTTAAATCAAAGTTGACAATCTGTGGGCTTTTTTTTTTTTTTTTTTTGGTTTGTTTGTTAAACTGTAAGAGGACAAACTTTAATAAAATATACTTCTTTGCTTTTCACAACAGTTTTATGGTGAAAGTAAGCCTGGGATCACTATCACCAATTCACAGATAAGTAAATTAAAATACAGAGGTAACCCCCCCACACACACTTGCTCAAGGTCATACTACTTAAAGTGACAGCCAAGACTAGAAGAAAAGTCTCCCAGCTCCTCCTCAACACAAACTGTTTCCCAGGAAAAAAACACCCAGATAAGAATAGAGGTTTGAGTTTTTCTTTCTTCAAAGCTCACCCCCTACCCTTAAGAACACCTTGGGTGTTCTGTCTTTCTTAACCTGACCTGTCTCACAGTTTGTGGCTTTGAAGGCTTGAAAGTTTGATTAAGCTTCTTGATCGTCTGTCTGTTGGATGCCTGGCCCAGCACACCACTGCCGCGGCCGCTGCAGGACCAAGACTTATAGTAAGCCCTAGGCCATAACCCCTGCCCTGCCACCCCACTCCAGTGGCCCTGTAAACAAATCAAATCCCACTTGCACTTAAGTGGCATTAAAAACACCAGGCCTGGGCACTTCTAAGTCATGTTTCTAAGAGGTATTTTGTTTTGTGTTGAAGAGATGCAAAAGGAGTGATACAACTGGGTCATACTGAACTGGAAAGTAAAGGGAGCTTCCCTGGCCTCATGCAGGGAGTTGTGAGAAAGCTGTGATGAGAACCGGAGCATGTGGGGCAGGACAGGGAGGGTGTACAGGTACAACCCAAGGTCCCTTAGGATCCTCAACATCAGCAGCTCAGAGAGCAATGAGAATGGAAGGCAGAAAAGGGAGCGTCCAATGACAGTGGAGACTGCAATCAAGCTTTGGAGACCTTTCCCAACACAAATCTCTCCTCTCCTAAATCACTCCAGGGTGGGGGCCGAGGACTATGGTTTTCATGTCTGTGGTTCTCAGGTGCTGGAGCCACTAAACAAGTCCAAAGCCCTCCACTGTCAGCAAGACCTGCAGGAATGAACCAACTTTCCCAGGACTCGATTCATGAGCCCACTGAACTAGGAGGGAAAGGGAAGAAAAGCAGCACCTCTCCCCTCAGCAAAAGCCTCTGGTTTACATTCATGAGCTACGTTCTCCCAAACCTGGAGATCCTCCATCTCTCTCCAGTCCCAGATGGTGACAACGGCTTAACCTCACAGGGCGAAGCCCATGGTCCACCCAGACAAGCCCGGGGCACTCTGGTGGACAAGCCTGAGTCTGGCCCTAAGACAGAGTCGGAGGGGGGTCCTGCACAGCAGTAAGCAACCCCCAGGCGCTTTGTTCCGAGTGAGAAGAACGAAGCATTTTTGAGTAACCAAAAAGCGTGAATCACACGGCAGGGGTATGGGAACGCGAAAGGATGTTATTTTTCGGATTGCTTGAGGATGTTCCCTTTGTCCCAGCTCTGTCAGGACTCTCCCGACTGCATCTACAACCCCATTTCGCCGCCACCACCGCGCTCACTCACGCACATTTTTTTTCTGCTCCATTTTTATTTTCCCGGCGGCCTTCCCAGGCGCCACCGCCCCCAGCCCGTCTCCGGGCGCGTCTCGGCGCAGGACCGGGTCTCCTGGGCCGCGACCTCGCGGCGCCCGCCCCGGCCGCTCACCTGAGTCAGGTCCTCGTCATTGAGCAGATGCGACTCGCGGGGCTTGAAGCAGTTCTGACACTTGCTCTTGTTGAAGATGTTGGCCTGGAATTTCCTGCACGGGTTCTCCTTGGCCGCCGACATGGTCGGGGGCGGCGGCGGCGCAGGCCCGGCCCGCGCGCTCCCGGCGGGGTAGGGCTCAGCGCGGCCGCC